GAGATGGGTGAAGTTGTGCTTTTTCACTTGTTGTTGTTGTTTAACATTTAAACCTATTTTCTGCACATTCCAGCACATAAAATAAAATATTTTTTTGTGTTTACACTCAGTCTTTCACATCAGATCACAGCAGAAAATAAATAAAATCAAAGACTAGCGGTCCTTTTGCTCTATTGTCACCTGTAAAGCAGGAGTGGGGTAGGCGGAGGTTTACCCTGGTGCAGGTGAGCCGCAGCGGTCAGTGGAAGAATCCGCGAGGTGAATTTCCCATTACGTCGTAGCGCACTCGGTGCTTGCTTGGAAGTTTAGGGGTTTTTTTTCGCTGTAAAGAGAAGTTTTCTTCCCACACACAATGGACGCTAATGTTTTTGTCACAGAATGAAACTCAGTGAGGTCAGTACTTACATGCTTTAAACGTTGCATGCTCATACTCTCTCCTGCACTCGATATATTATCCATTGTTGATCTGCACACAGCTGTTGCCACAAATGTTGCACTTGCTTACGTCATTGTCATGACACATTCTGGTAAAAAAAAATCACGGTTTTAGTAACGCAGTAATGCAGCGTGCTTACGGGAAAGTAACAGTAATCTAATTACCTTTTTTGCAATAGTAATCCCTTACTTTACATGTTACTTGAAAAAAGTAATCGGATTACCATCTCTGGTCATAACTAAAGCAAGAAAACTGGTACATGCTGTCAGAAAATCATCAGTGGCAAATGAAGAAATGTCCAAAAAACATGGCAAAACTCAGATCCGGGATTGTACTGCTCGTTGGAAAAGTACTTTTGACATGTTCAGATGACTGCTAGAAACCAGAGCTGAACAAAACCAACTGCTTGAGCAGCTGGGGATGGACACACTTCTCACAAATGATTGTGCCAAGATGGAGAACCTTGTCAAGCTGTTTGAACGCTCATACAGACCATCTTCAGAGTGACAGCCAGTCGCTCTCAATTACAAGTAGTGCCATGTCTGCTCAACCTCGAGGCACATCTGCTGACAAGTCCTTTTAGGAATCAAGTGCTGCTGAAGTGTTTAAGAGAACGTTTTGCTGCTATTCTTAATCCTGATTCCACACAGTTTGATGCTACACCAGCAGGAGCCTGCCTGTTAGATCCAAATCACTGATTTCAGTCACCAGATACAGCAAGCAGCAAAGTCCTTTGTGCACAACCTGGCAGCTCAGTATAACCCAGGCACTACTTCTCAGGATGATGTTAACACTGCAGAGTAGTGATGTGTCGGTCACGAACGAAATGGCTCTTAGAGCCGGATCTTTGACATGAACGACGTGAGCTGGCTCCTTATCACGAGCCGTGGGTTGTTTTTTTTCTTCCTCTCACCCTCTCTCTCACCCTTTTTTTCCGCTTCACTCCGCATGCGAGCCTTGTGCTTTGCGCTGGGAGGAGGGGCGGTAGTTACACTTGCAGTAGCACAGGAACAGAGCCAGAGGGAGAGAGAGAGAAAGAAAGCCAGGGACAACATCGTCACATTGGAAAGGTATAGTAATCATCCACAACTATTTTCAGTTGCAGATGATAAAGGATTCAGAAAGTTTATTCATGCAGGCCCATATGACAGAGAATATGCATCTTCTTTTTGTTTTGCATACTGTAATTTATATTTGTGTTGTGGTTTGCAGTGTTTTGTGTTATTTCACTTTAAATTAGTTTAAAAGGAAAAAGTTGAAATGTAAATAGTTGGTTTTTGTATTATATAATTTATTTATTACATTTTATGTGGAGTGAATAAATAAAAGTATATTTACGGTGGCCCCTAGAGACAAAGCAGCACGTACAAACTCCAAAACACAACAGAAGTGCTCCAGGATGCTAGGGGCAGTGTTGAGCTTTTGTTACCTAGTGGCTACACAAGCCAGGAAGTACCACGACTGGATTTGGTGTGGTAGTAACAGGTAAATGAACTTTTTTTTTTTTTTTTAATTATTTGAATATATATGAATGAAAGTTTGTGTATAAATACACAAACAATACACACATGCTTTCATGCTTTCAATTGTGTAATTTAAGTGATCTAGGTAGCTCTGTTTTGGAAGTTCAGTTCATGCTAGAAATGTGTTTTGGAGTTTGTACGTGCTTTGTCTCTAGGGGCCACCGTATATATTTATATATAAACATATGTAAAAAACCCACGTTTTTTTTTTTTATATTAGTAATTCCGTTTGTGCATAATTTTATATTGTTGTTGATAATAAATTAATTAAAGAAACAAAACAACCCGAATAGCCGGTTGGGAGCCGAAAGAGCCGGTTCTCTAAAAAGAGTTGGAATTCCCATCACTAGTATTACCCTTCCAGGACCTGAAGCTCAGTAAAGCACCCCTCCAACAGCCAAAGCCATCTGTTCTCTGATTAGATTGGTCAATGTCATGTCAGTCACAAATTTAACCATCAGCTGAAAGGAAGAAAAATCAAGTCAAAAGTTGTACTTTTAAGTTGAGAGTTACACACAGCCAGGGAACCTGAGCGCAGTTTTACACGTAGTTTTTTGCTTTGTATCTGTAAGCAGACCTTAAAAAAATGTGTAACTCGTGTAAACACACAAATTACCATCTGTAGATGCACGAACATACAATTTTCACATATTTTAGTTTAGAAGGTTACAAAACTCAGTTCACAAATATGCATTTGATTTACAAGTACAAAATATTTATAACCACAATTTCTGGAGTTCATTTGCAGTAAATCCTTTATATCTAGCTTAATCTTGTTTTCCCCTAGGTTTGGAATCAGTTGGCTTCTTTCTTCCTGATAAATTTGACAACGCAACAGAACATATTCAATGGTTTCACCTGTTCCACAGCGACTACATCCCCCGTTTGATGTTTCCCTATAATGAATAGTAAACTGTTTAACTCTTTAAATAGCCCTTTGAGTCCAGCTAGTACTTCCAATTGAACTCCCAGCTTGCTTTCTTCAAATTCCTACGCTGCTCAGACTTGAAACTAACCAAATTCAATCCAGATCATCATGGGTGGGTCTCTAGCCTTCACTTAATTTCATAAGATTGCAAGCAGCAGCCCCCTGCCCATGTTTAACTTCAAGATAAACTCCCAAGTCCTTGAAAGCAGTTAGCCTGTTACCTCCAGCTTCAGAAATCCCAGCAAGTTTCCCCTTCAGACCCTCCAGTCATCACTGAGTCCGGCCACATTGCTGCCAGATTCTGGTCCTACTCAGACTTCCATTAAGTTTTCTCATTGCCTGGAATTTTTCTCGATCCCTTCTCTGGCCTTTCCTTCTAAACTGGGACGGGTACATACAAGGAGAGCAGCTTCACGCAAAAGAATCCCCGACCAACTCATTAAGGTCATTGGAAGCCTACCACTTATATATTTTTTCATCAATCTTAAAGTTTATTCCATCCACCATTCACTTTCAAGAAACTATAACTGAGGATGTGTTCCCTGCTAGTGAAATTAAAATATTTTGTCTTAATTCTGGGAGTGGGACTGCACCTCATACACTCCTTTTAGTTTTATAACTGATTGTATTCCCACATTACACACTTTTTGTTCTCATTTTCGTGCCCACACCCTTCTCTATTCTTACTTATCATTAGTACCTGCTGTCAGTCAGAAGGGTGCAATGAAGCTTTTCCCAAACTCCAGTCTCAGACACGGATAGAAACACCGACAATCTAAGTGAAGACGTGGTTCAGATTTTACAGCCAGAAACAAAAACCAGTTTCTATAGCTAGATTATGTTCCCATTACTTAACTACTGAATGGTGTTTTGATTGTTCTGTTTTTATAACTCAGCTGTTTTGAAACTTACACTTAGTGACACTTTGATGGGAAGGCGTGCAGACACAGGCAGCCATACAGCCAACCTCTGCCTGCTAGGCTTCAATTCATCTCATTTTACTTACTGATCTGGACCTCTCGAGGTCCTAGGTTTGGTGCTGCAGTGCAGCTGGTCATACTAATGGCTTATCCAGGCTTGTTGTACATGAAATTCTATTTATCTATTTGGCAGCACTACTTAGAAGTGTCTACTATCTTGGAAGTGTTTCACAGAGATTCTGAATCTATCTGTCCAAACGTCTCAGAAACAGTTTTAACAAAAGCTGAACCTTCAGTTAGTCAGGATGCTTTGCAGGACTGATATCAGGTCGGAGTAACCAATAAAGTAACACTTGGGTGTAGCTTCAACAGAGCTGGTCTCGTAGGACAAAAACACAGTGACATGTTCTGTCCTCTTGTGTGTGTGTGTGTGTGCATCTGTCAGGAGTTGGAAATGCTGAAGGAAGTGTCAGAAGCTTCTGAGTCCATGAGCGAGGAGGTAAAGCAGCTTCAAACACAGCCTCGCTACTGGAGCCGTCAGTTTTAATACTCACGCTCACATTTAGAGTTTGTTTAATATTTGTTTCCTCGCTCTTCTTTTTTTTCTCCACTAGCTGTTCAACTGGAAAAGGTTATCAGGTGAATTCTAGACTTTCTCTCTCAGCTAAATTAATGATGTTGTTTAGAGTGACAGACTCATCAAAATCATGGAGGAGGGTCTGAGCTGTGGTTGTGTTAAGACACAGACAACACAGCTATCATTACAGGACCACACACCTCTTTCTTTAACTGTGAGGGACAGAAAGAGGTGCGTGTTCACTGGAGTCATACACCCTGTTTTAATATGAGCATGACTGACATGTTGGGAAAGTACTGCACTCAGTGTTGATGTAGAGATTTGTGAATTTCATTAGTGAATAAATGCTTTTGGACCCTTTAAGGCTGAAAGCGTTTGTCACACTCATATCACAGACATCTGACGTCATCTTGTCGGCCAAACTGAAAATAACAAACAAACAAACCGCCCACCAGTAACACTTCTGCACATTGACCTCCACAGAAAAGTGTCACTGTTAAAGCAGGTAATTTTAATGTTTGTGCGCACTCAGTCTCAGTCTGAATAATCTACAAACTGTGAGTAGAGATTTTTTACATCATTTTTGGAGAAAGCATGGATGACATTAAACAGACAGTTGCTATGCTTCAATGTTTAATCACAATGACTTAAACTGGCCTGCATCATTTTACACTCAGTGGTCACATCGCATCTCACTGCTGTCAAAGAGTTCATTAAATTGGCCCAGGTCAGCAGTCTCGCTTCCATAAGGACTGAAGCAGGCTTTGAAGTGTGCTCCTGCTGACAGGCCTCCTCCTCCACGGCTCTCTGTCCCTTCAGCAGGTCGATGCCAGCAACTGAAGCTCTTTCAGTCAAAAACCTTTGCTGACCAGCCAGTCCTTCAACTCCTTATCGAAGTGACCTTTGACCTTCAGGGTCATGGTGACCTCGTTGACCTGTGTAGGTAGCTCTTTTCCCGTCACCTCCTGCAGGTACTGCCTCACGTCCTTCTCTAGAGCCCAAATGTCGCCCTCCACTTTCCGTATCAACGTTAATTTCCGGTTGCTATTGGTCACGTCGGTATAAATCGGGATGTTGTGCATGCGGGAGCGGCGGATCATGTAGGGCAGAGACGGCGGTGAATCAGCAGGAGGGATCCAGCCCGATGGGGTAGGACCGGTGTGTTTAGGCGGAGTGGGAATCCGTGATGAGGGGATGAGCCGCTCAACGTACTTGTATTCCTCCGTGGACTCTATTATCGGCGACCGATTATCTTCTGGAGCAGCATTACTCACAAACCGGAGCCCGGCAGCAGAGACAGGAGCCCCCGGTGTCCTGCAGCACAGGCTGGAAGGTCCCAGCCACGCTCTGCGGAGTACGGTAGATCCGAAGAGGGCCGCCATTATGTGGAACGGTGTGGCGAGCGCGACCCGGAAGTAGTGTGCAACTTCCGGTACGAGGACTTTCATAGAAAAATAAAAGGACTTTTATTATTATTTTAGTTATTTTGATAAAATAAATAATTTGTTATTCATTTATTTAAATAAATAAATAAAAATAAAAGGAAGAGAGACATGTTCACATTAACTGAAAGTGTAAAATATGAAAACATTGTTTATTTATTTATTTATTTATTTATTATGCCATAATTATTAACAGTAGTTCAAAAGCCTTATTATATTAATGTGGACGGTGACCTCAGCTTATCCTTGTTTTATATCTCATGTGGCTTGAAGCTCATTTACAGTTGTATGATTCAAAATTCAGTCTTCAGACCGCCACGCCATTTCAGACAGTTCCCTCTACTCAGCTTGGTTTGATGTCAGAAAAAGCAGCTATCTCATCCCGTGGGAAACCTTCTGTATACAAGGAGAGCCTTTCCAAGGAAACTGGCTTAAACAAAAGGACAGGAGAGCTAAAACAATCTGTTCGAAACAAAGGTTCAACTGAGGGGTTGCTCTTAGACCCAGTATAAGATTAGAATAAATACATTGTAATAAATAAAAATCTACTCAAATAAATATGGATGGAGCAGGGAAATTTTATTATGGTAAAAGAAATAGATGAGAGATTTTAAAAACAAAATGTTGAAACTGTTTGGTCCAAATCGATCATAATGGGAACAAGATGTTGAAAAATCCCTCCTGAACATGCATCTGAACAGACCCAACAGAGCACCTCAGTAAAGGACTTCTTATCATTGCTGGCATTTTGCATGCAGACTGGCACACTGAATCATGTTGTGGGTTTGTACAACTGTGTCCTCTTTTTGTATACTGTTTACAGCTATATTACCCTGCTGATATATTTAACAAAAGCTGGGGTAGTGGGTATGTCTTAATATCTTTGGCTTTTGTTATTTGTGATATATTTATATGGTAAAGCTAGCAATGGGTATTTTGGGTATTTAAAATAGCTGAATGTAACTATGTGTTCCCTTATTGCTCTGACTCCATGTCAATCATGTGCAGGCTGTACTATAACAAAGATAGTCTGTACAGTATTATAATATGTTGTGTGATATATTCTGAAGAAGGCTCCAGAAAAAATAATCCATTTAGAAGTGTGGTACAGTACTGCAGCATTGTGGCTTCACAACAAGCTTCTTGATTTGAATTCGTGGTTTTATTATGAAATATTGGATCATATTCCTGACTTTGAACATCATCTTACATTATAAAATCATATAAGGCTTTTAGAACAGTCTGAATGACAAAGTGACAAAAAACAGTTGTTTAGTTCAGTGTCACTTCATCATTATTCTATTAAACTCCTTGATAACGGGGAGAGAAAGGAGGTGCATGCCTAATGTTAAGAGGAAAAATAAGAATCTTCAGTTCTTAAGACCCCTGAGAATGAACTTATAACCCCTCATCAGTGTCTGTCCCATGCTCATCAGCTGTATGGAGAGCTGAATGATAGCTTTGGGACTCAGACATGGGCTGCACCCAGGTGTGACGTCTCACACCCTTGTGCTAGACAACCAGACTTAAGTAAATGTCTCTGCTGGCTGAAACTTTCTCTCAGTATTTCTGAGATATGTGGAGGCTTATTCAATTCAATTTTATTTATATAGCGCCAAATTACAACAGCCGCCTCAAGGTGCTTTATATTGTAAGGTAGACCCTGCAATAATACACCGTCCTGTATCAGCTCAGATCCCATTCTCTGTAAAGATGATCCCACACTTCTTCAATAATGTTAAGGCCTGAGCTCCGAACAGTCATGACTTATGATGGTCCATTGTGTTTTTCTATCCAGATAGCCATTTACTGAACTGGCAGAGAGTTTGTGATCATTGTCATGGTGAAAAATGAATTTTGCCAATATAATTGTGTGTAATTGTGTTCTCCTGTACCAACTTACAACAGAAAATAAATACCATAAAAATTTGCAGGCCTATGTGACCTTATAATGATGAACTTATTTTCCCTTCACAATCACTGTTGAAATATAGCTTTTGAAATAAGTTTTTTACAATTTAAATTTAATTTATAAACTGTATTTTGTATTTACTTTTGTGTTTAATGATAATATGCAAACAGGATAATTATGCAAAACATAACATATCAAGAAGAGGGGAAAAAGGTTCTTTCAACAGCACTATATGTAAAATATTTCCAAATGTGGTATATATGCGGTGGAAGTATACTGAGAGAAATGATGTAATATTTTAACTTTATTTTTTGTGGATAATGACAAAAAACAAACCAGCATATATCAATTTGAAAAGCTTCTTCAGGATTTGACAAATACATCATCAGACTAAGTTTAACATCAGCCATGGGTAGCAATCTAGCAACCCTTATGGCATAGCAGTCTATAACAGCAACCTGTAGAGGCTACCAATGATAAAAGCATAAACCCACAAGATACAAGAGGTCACAAACAAACAAAGTTCTAAGAAACAGTGAGAGAGTTGAAGACGTGGAGTCTCTCTTTGTATGCTACCATAAGCTGTGTTGATGGAATAAGTCTGTGTCATGCATATCACACTAGCCTGGATCAGACTACTTCCATTGCTTGTGGATTTGCCTCACCAGATGTGAGTAAATCTCACTCACTGATTCTTTTCAAAATGTCCAGGCAGCAAAGATTATGTTGAGTTTGTCCTTGTGGTCAGGAAACATCATTTTGAGTGATGGGTCACTAGTATCTCTATACAGTGCACCCTCTCTAGAAGCATTCACAGCTGTGCTGATCACCATTTACTATTTTTAAAACAGGAAGCACACTTCAAATGCTGATGGATCATGTGTGTTTACTGATGGCCTGACAGAAGACAATAGCAGTCATTTTTTTAATCAAAGGTGTAAAAGAATATACTTTATGCTCAGTTTCATCCAAGTGCTAGTGACTGGACAATGACAAAGGAAAGATGGACAACAGCTCAAACCCAAGGAATTTTGAAGCTACGAAGGTAATGTTCTATGCATGTTATTTATGATTTTACTATGTATAAATTTGTTGAACTGTAATTTCTTGATTATTGTATAATTATAGGTAAATAATTATTTCTTGCTACAGTTTTTTGTTCAGCTGTAAATCAGAGCTGAGAGGCAAACAGATCACACCTCGAGCTAACTGTGTGTTTTTGAGTTAGATTGTCCAGCTGTTACGTTCCCCTAAAAGGGTCAAGACGATGACGGAAGGTAACAAAAAGTGTCCGGGTCAGAAAAAGGAGACAAGGAGGCAAAAGGGTCAAATTAAAGAGTTTTATTAAAGTAGCTCAACTAAAAGAGATGGACAAGCCGCTATCACCATTTAAGGAAACAAACAAAACTCAAGTGTTGGTCAAAAAAAGTAAGTCAAAAAAGAGCAGCTCACTAGCGGCAACCACACAAACACGCAGCTCACTAGCAGCAACCACTCACAGCTGCACAAAAGAAAAAGGTGGCACCTTTGGCACAGGAGAGATGGTAGGACACGCCCACACAGGCAACTTCAGGAGGAGGCCCTGCTAGGACCGCAACACATGCTTTTCTTTTCTTTCTTTTTCTTTTCTCTTATTAAAAATAAAGCATTATATTTTTTTGGGCTGTGGCTCTATGTGATGCACACAAAGTTGGGCCAAGGAGTGCTGCGTTTTTTAATCAAAATGAAGCGGCCTGCAGTTAACAGAGTGAACACAAGGTGGCAGAAGAGCCAAAGGCATTTTGCACCAGTAACAGCCAAACCTGAGGAAATCTGCAGGCAGCAGAGCTCACGAGGGCTCCTCAGCATGCAGCATGACATGCTTAGAGATTAAACTGAACATATTTACATCAGTAATGTGAAAACATCCTCATTACAATTTATTATTAACTGACTTATGCATGTATGAGTTTAGATATTTAATTTTACAAAGTAAACTGTTGATGATTCAAAGTTAGGGTATTTTTTGTGTGCAAGGAATGACACCGGGCTGGTATTTAGCACTTTTCTACTATTCTACCTGTGTCTACTCTTTAGTCTACAAGCTACATTTAACCATGCATTCATTCTGTGCTCACATCAATGGAAAACTTAGAATCTTTGGTGCGTAATGACATGTGGCACAGGTGTTCAGCTACACTTGTTATATACCAAAAATTAATCCATGCCTTCCAGCCAGCCAGTCAGAATCTAGATCTTTATGCAAATAAGTGCTATAAGTTGCACAGCAGTTGGTCTCATCCCTTACACATCACTCATTGCTTGTGCCACAGAAATCTTCCTGTTATATATCCACCTCCTGTTTTTCTGCTTCTTCCAGATTAGAAGTTGTTGGTGCTGACTTGCGAGTGCCACATTCTAGTTAGCTGCCAGGGTCATGAAACAGAAACACATGTCACTGTCAGTGAGGGCCATCGCCACGGCACAATCTCCCACAGGAAACACGCAGCATTCATCGTTCCACTGCGATAATAGCTCCAGACAAACACCTCTGTGGAAGCGGTTTTCCCCCTAAATGTCAATGCAATGTTGCTGCTATGAATTCTGGTAGTTTGCATGCGGTTTTCATTTTTGTTTTTTTGATGCTGATATATTTTGAATATATCAGCATCAAAAATATGCTGACTAAAAGTCAAACATCAGCAAAGTTCAAACCATTGCTGATGTTTGACTTTTAGTTTCGGGTTATGATTTAATGGCAAGAATGTGCACCATCAGCCAGTTTCAAACAATTTAACAAAACCGATTATTAACAAAAAGATTTCCTTTTAAATTCTTTGATGTATTTCCTTTAAATCCTACATCTGTGTTAGTATACAGTTATGTTGCACAGGCAGAGGACAGAAGAAGAGAATTGCGATGTGGGTCACAGCAGGATGTAAGTGGGTCAGAGTCACCCTGCTCTGGTTTTGTAAAGAGGAAGAGTGGGAAGCAGAGGCATCAGCAGGATTTTGAGATGTGTTAGTGCACTCTTAATCAATAACAGTTTCTCATAAAATGTAGGGTGTGTGTCTGCGTCTTTATCCTGTGG